ATCCTCCGTAAAGCTCCTGGACATGATCTCCTTACACCTCAAATCCTTCGACAACTTCCATCCAAAGCAGTCATATTCCTTACAGATATCTACAATTGTATCCTACGCACCACCCACTTTCCTCTGTTATGGAAACACTCCACTATTATCCTCTTCCCAAAACCAGGAAAACCTCTCAATAGCTCAACATCCTATAGACCAATCAGCCTACTCCCAATCCTTTCAAAAATTTTTGAAAAGATCCTTTTGAAACGAATCCTACCCATTATAGAATCCCAAAATATTCCTTCCCATCAGTTTGGTTTTCGCTCCCAACATTCTACTGTTCAACAAGGACTCCGAGTTGTTGATCATATTTCCTCAGCCCTAGAAAACAAGGAATACTGTTCGGGTGCATTTCTGGACATTGCACAAGCATTTGACCGGGTATGGCACTCCGGACTGCTCTTCAAGCTTAAAATCCATTTACCTCAGTCCTTGTACCTAGTCCTCCGATCCTACCTCTCTGACCGCTCCTTCCGAGTTCGCTGTGGAACAGAATTTTCCAATATCTACTCCGTTAAAGCCGGTGTTCCCCAAGGCAGCGTCTTGGGTCCCGTGCTTTACATCCTCTTTACTGCTGACATCCCTGTTCATCCCGATACTTTTCTTGCAACATTCGCTGACGACACCGCAATCTTATCATCCAACTCTGATCCCAACATAGCATCCTTAAATCTCCAAAACCACCTCACCTTGATTGAGCACTGGTGTAATAACTGGCGCATTAAAGTTAATGAATCTAAATGCCAACATATTACCTTTACACTCCGACGCAGTTCCTGTCCACCAGTACACTTTAATTCCATCCAGCTTCCTTACTCAGACACAGTCCGGTATCTTGGCTTTCATTTAGACCGAAGACTAACGTGGAACCCACATACTAGACTCAAAAGACAAGAACTCAACCGACGATACGGCCAGCTATACAGACTACTAAACAGAAAATCCAAACTTTCTATTGAAAACAAATTACTTATCTACAAGACAATACTGAAACCTATATGGACATACGGACTTGAACTGTGGGGGACAGCAAAAGCTTCTAACATCAAACGTATTCAATCCTTTCAATCTAAAGTCCTTCGAACAATAGTTGATGCTCCGTTCTATGTAAATAACAAAATCCTACACCATGACCTTAATATCCCATTTGTCCTAGACCTTATTCCAGAAAAATTCTCCAAATTTCACCAGAACCTTACCTATCATCCAAATCCCCTTGCACAATCTCTATCCAGCACCACCCATCCTTACAATCATCCTCGAAGGTTGAAGCGGCAGTGGCCCAGAGACCTTTTGTAAATAAGCATCTATTGGAGTTTTGGCAATGGCCAGATCCTCCACTCAAGCCCGAGTGTGTATGATTAGGTTAGTTCTTTTGTTTATATACATTTATTTTATTTTATTGTATTTATTTTTATTTTATTTTTTTGTATTTATTATTATTAAGTTTCTGTATTATTTATTTTTTTTTTATTGTAAATAGAGTGTGAGTGTGCTTTCTCTGATCACTATTATAAATGTCCTTGATGTGACAGAATGTAATATTTCTAAATAAACAAATATAAAATATAAATCTAATAATAAACCTCGATCTGAAGAAATCCGAAAGCTAACGTGTTATTTTCGCCTTTATAAATGCACCAGTTGTATGTAAAAGGGTATAAGTGTTACCGACCATTTTAAATATATTGAAGTAAAAAGGTTTAACTTTAATAATTATTTATTCAAAACTTAGTTCTTTTATCTTATTCTCTTTTGCATTTAGCGATCTCAATTAATGTTCTTAGCTTTTATTTTCTCTATATATTTATATCAGTATATACCTGGTTAATTATGTAAGAAATGGTATAATGGACAGATCTGCAACTTGATTCATTACTGAACACAGTTAAAAAGAAAAACTTAGAAAATATAAAATCAATAAATATTTTATCGAAACGTAATAGTGAGTCAGTATCCAACTTCCAATTCAACATCCTTATCTTCAGGATTTACGCAATGTTTGATGTGCGGCGTCATTGGTGATCATTCTATGATACTGCAATTTTTTTCACTAACACATCACAATGCTATATATAATATAATACTTTAAATATAGTTTATTAGATAGTTAATTCATAGCTCCATATAATAACAAAAAAATAATACCTTGAAATAAATAGTTCTAAAATAAGATAATACATCTACCGTATATAGAAATCAGTTTCCTACACATTCCTCACATTTGATAAATAATCTAACAATGTCTTGTCGGTAAAAATTTTCAATATTCGACTTAATCATGACAAATCTTATCATTTAACTTATCATCCTCTATACCCAAACTACGGTCCGCGAAAATGTCTTTTTTTTTTTATTTTTTTTTTTTAGCTTTAATGTTTTATTCACACCTGTCATAATGCTAATGACAACCAGTGAATGTGAGATCGATTGATTAATAGAATTGTCATAAGAGGCATGAGGAGGATCAGTGCCCAGCGGCACCTACTTGGATAATATAATTTGATCGTAAGATAATTTGATCACGAAATCAATAAAAAAGGTGGCCTACCAAAAAATTGGACCGTTTGTTCTATACAACATCGTTATTTTGAAAATTTGGGGGTGTAGGTCACGCCAAAACTGCTTAATATTTTTTATGACCACCTTTTTCTTGATTTTGTGATCAAATTATCTTACGATCCAAGTAGAAAGCAAATGGGTATTTACGAGTTTTTAATACGTAATTAAATAGGCGAAAATTCCCCCCCCCCTCCTGACTGAAACCAAACCCATTCCAAGAATGTTAGTGAATAAAATAGTTGTAGGTTACGATAAGATGAAATTATTTACGAAGTTTTAGACGGATGTTAATAATTTGATAAAGAGGGGTCTGTACCACTGACTATAACTAGAGTTACCGGACCTGAGGTAAAATATCTAGAATGTATTGAAAATATTTTACTAGAATTCATATCAAAACGATGAACCTACTGAAGTATTCAATAAAAATACTAAACGATTAGCTATTATAAATGTTATGGAAGAACATTTGGCAATGGTTATGCCATTTTATCACTGAAGGTAATCAAAAGCGACTATAGCAAAATACAAACACAATGCATACATTAATGAGTAACCACCTGGTGCTGCATTATAGAGGGTCTCCATTAAGAGAGCTCGACAAATAGACACCTTCTGTTTGCCAAGCCTATCTCCTCCTTCGTGTATTAATTATTCCAAGCCGTCATTTAATATTGTAATTTCAATCCGAATCCAGAAACAGGCCGGAATTACTCTACATAGATTATAATAATTTAAATATCTAACTACCGACAGACACTTAATTCGTATTTATTAATTAAAATCATTTTAACATGTGATTCTTCATCGGTCATTAAACATGATTGGACATATTTTAAAGCATAAAATATTAAGGTTGCTCGAAAACAAATAGCACTTGAGACTACAATAAAATTTATCTGCAGAATAGGAAAATTAACCCATGCCTTATTAATAATAAAATAGGAAGGATATTTCTGATGGAACAGTGTCTCCAAACTAATAATTCTAATGAAAAAATAACAAACTGCTGAGGGTGCATTTTAAATCTCGTTTCATAATCCCTTAACACGGTTTTAGAGGTTTCAAATTAACAATGCTCAGGAATTATAGATAAGATTCCCTGGCATATAAATATATAATCAGCTGTAATTTCTTAAGGCTGCTATGATGATGAAACTACGGGGCGTGTTATTGTCGGATAATGACACCCACACTTTGACATTACAATATCTAAAAACTGCTCTTCCCTTAGCGATATCAGTGCTGATCATTAGTTTCACGCCAATCAATGAAATATAGAGGATAAGAAAAAATTATGTACCTTCAAATGAAACAGTAATAACTGCTCTTTTAATCATATAATATTAATCTTTGACATAAATATCAATGATAGCAAACGCATACCGCGTTCCTCAAAACACCGCCATCATCAATTCCTGATAATACTCTTGATAATCAATTTCTGAGTAATGAGCTTACATGAAAGTAAAGATTGGCAAAATCCACTTATAAACATTTTATAACTCTAAAAATTAATCAACAGTGGCAAAAGAATAAAATTTCCTCTAACTAACGCAGTTTAGAACTTTAATAACACCTTTACTGTTGCAGATAATTTAAAAAAATCTCACTGATCAGTTTTTAAAAATCATAACTCAAAGCACTTCTATTTGTACCCATACAGTTGGCCATAGGCTTCTATCTAGAGCTTTCTTCGTGAATTTCCTCCGGTCCAGTAAGTCCAGCAGTCTTTAGTAAGTTGCCAGTCAAAGCTCCGGAAAATCTCAATTATCAGCTTCTTTTTGATAATTTAGTTCCATATATATTTTAATAGAAAATCAATTTGATTAAGGATGATAGTACCTTCATTATATACAAATGAACAGTTATATTCTCATAAATTTATTTATGAACAATGTGCCATCATAAATATTAAATGTAAACAATTATTTCATTATGCATTAAGCGCATACAGTTTAGCGTTATACATGAAAACAATTATTTCATTTTGCATTATGTGTATATAACTCAGCGTAATACATAAACATTTTTTTTTTCATTATGCATTAAGTGTATATAACTCAGCGCTATACATAACACAAATGCCTCGGCTATATCCTTGAAAAATACTTCTACTTTTTTAGAATACTTCAATTTTCTGTTCCACTTGCATTGTCTACATATTCTTCTATAAAAGATGTATGTTAATGTTGACAATTCAGTTCCTATGATTTTCAAAAGTCTTCAATACCTGAAAAAGCGAAAATATAATGATATTATTATTGATAAAATATACCCCATAGAGGCAGTACTTATACATAAGGTAATTATACGTACTATATGTTATATTGTTAATGAGCTTACCAGGAATATCCATGATGTGAGACTATTAAAGTTTTTGAACTCTAGACATGAAGTCCCATCACTTTTTCGACTTCTTTGGAAGTTTTCGTTTTTTATCATCCAGATGTAAAACATGTAAAACATCTGAAAAAAATTGGAATTTCAGATTTTTCATATTGAATAATATTGAATTTATTTCAAGGATTTCGAGTAGACGAAATGAAATCACTGTTCTATTTATTTATTAATATTAATTTATCAAAATTACAGTATATTTATATTTAAATTCATTATTGTTTTTGAAAAGCTCAACAGGTTGTGAATCTTCAAGTTTAGGTCTTCGGAGATGCAGAAACATTTAAAGAAAATCAATTTCTAAAATTTATATTTGTTTCAAAATCGTTTTGAGTTTTAAAGGACACTAAAAACGACTAGCTTACGTTTTCTTGCTCTGCCTGTCAACTTATTTAATATTATCGGCAATATTTGTTTTCTTATTTTCCACAAGGAAAGTAAATCGATTAGTATCTAATATTTTAAATAATAAATATAAGCAAAACATTGCAGCATTGGAGCGAACAACGATACATGTAAATACCATTTTTTGATGTTGAATTTTTTAAAAACTAAATTGGTTCGAATCGGTGACTTCAACTTTTAAGTGAACATTTTTTAAATTACACAGAGAGAAAATTCATCAAAGTAATTAGTGATTTAAGTTTAAAAAATATTACGTAAAAACTTTTTTAAATGTTAAATTTCTGTTTGTATTAGTAAATTTTACAACCGTGTCAATCCCAGATAACAAGAAACGATGTGACTATGAAAATTTGGCAACTTTTATCTACTTATACCGTATTTTTATGTTGTAAAAATTTTAAATTATGACGAAACAATACCCATGGATTAAAATTAAATGGATGCTGTTTTTTTTTTTGTTTTTTTTTATATCATGGATAACAATACACAGATAAAATTGTCTGAAGATTTGCCTGGAGTCCGATATGTCAATAATAAGAAAACAAATAAATTATAAATTAGGAGTATATTTATAAAAATAAATTATCAAGTCGTTCTTTTAACCAAACAAAGATTATTTTTATTTTACAGAGAAAAAAATTCAGTAAAGTATTTATTTATTAGTAAAAGTAATTTTATGAAATTTTAGTTAAGTTTTCCTGATATACTGTCGATATAATGAGTAAAACTGCGTCGTTCTTTATTTAATTTCATCCGTAAACTGCGTAACACATTGTTCTATAGTTAAACAGACCATTAGCTTTATTTCCGATGTTAAAATTGTTATTTAATCAAATTTCATTAAATCATGTTAACTTAATTTTCAATTTAAGTATTTTAAATTACCTTTTGCCTCGGTCGCTGCTAAGAGGAGGGTGACAGTTGCTTCGAAAATGAAATTGATATCTTTCATTTTGCCGTTCCTTGGAATACTAGACCTTTCCACATTTAAAAGATAAATTATATATACTTACCAAATGTTATCTGATCTAAATTAACTGATAAAAACACTTCAACGCGTACTTGTGGCTTTCACTGCTGGTTATCACATGTACTACTACTTAGTTCGTTATGTTTTTTCTTGGAAACATTAGAGTAAATAAACGAACGAAGTAAGAGCATTATATCTTTGAAATGAAAGTATTTAAATTTATGTTATTTCCTTCAACCTTTCTTGATGTATCATGTAAAAATATTAAAGAAATGCAATTTCAGTAATTGAATTATGTAATGACAAAAGAGGGTATTTCCCTGCAGATAAAATCTCGAAATGAGACAGAAAAAAACACAAAACATCTCTCTTTAAAAATCTCGATAAGTGCAAAAAGACGTATAAAATATGAAGGTAAATTTATTAAACCTTTTCGATTAGATGTGTGTGTGTGTATTTATATTAGTGTATATATATTAGTGTATATATATATTTATATATATATATATATATATATATATATATATATATATATATATATATATATATATATATATATAAAATATGTATGTACATATATTGAATTTTTTATTTATTGAATAATATAGCATTCTATCACTTGTACAATGGTAATAGGAAGGCAAAATCACATTTACACTATCTGTTTAAACAAAAAAAAAAAACAGCTAAATATTAATCAAAATGTATTTACAATAAATAAAATAAAATAACTTAAAGATAAGTAAAACATACATTCTTATATACATTATTTACAATCAGGTGAGGGAACTCCGAGGGAGGCTTGTCCCTCCAACTACGGAAGGAAAATCAGGACTCCAGGGGATTCCTGCGCTGCTCGCTCAACAGCTATCCTATGCCTGTGGAGATTTATGGAGAGCGCTACTATTAATACTATTAATACTATGTCTTGCCTCGCGCGGGCTCATTACCGGTTATAGGGAGCGTCCCACGGGTGGCGGATGTGGGGATGGTCGGTGGAAATTCCTTGGAAGTTCCTCCCGGCTAAGTCCGATGGACTCGCTGACCAACAATGAGAGGGGGCCTCCAGACTTGCTGGAGGGAGGGGACCTCCAGACTTGCTGGAGGTAGGGGGCCACCAGACTTGCTGGAGGGTGTGACGTAGGATTGAACGCCCTACTCACATATCTTTAGTTCACCAAACACCACAAATAGTCATAGATCTCCCTAAGGTAAAACGCTCATTATCCGGAGGTAAACTAGTCCCCCGTTCGGGTCTCCGGGTGGGGACTGCTTTAGGGGATTCATGGCGCAAGGTGAAATATACGGATTTAAATATTGGTACGTGGAACGTAAGGAGTTTAAACACAGCAGGGGGTCTAAAATCGGTCGCGAATGAGGTAAACGGGTACAATTTGGATGTCGTGGCTCTGCAAGAGGTTCGCTCGCCAAGGGAGGGCTCGATGATGGAAGGGAAGTACACTATTTGGTACGGAGGAAGCGGGAATCATTGTTCAGGTACCGGGTTTCTAATTAGGAGTAAATTACTACCCGCTTTGAGGGACGTACAATTCTTTAGTGATAGAATTTCGGTAGCTATATTTCAGGAACGTTGGTTTAAAATCGCATTAAAAAACATACATTGTCCGACCGAAGACAGTGACGATGAAGTCAAAAGGGAATTTTACGATAAACTCGAATGGGTTTATAATAAACTACCGCGAAACTACATAAAAATAATTGTAGGTGACGCCAACGCAAAAGTAGGAAGGGAAGAAGTTTATATTCCGACGATTGGTAATGAAAGTTTGCACGAATATAGTTATGATAATGGGATCCGTCTGATAAACTTTGCCATCTCGAAAAACCTGCTAATTAAAAGTACGACGTTTAAACATAAGGATATTCATAAATATACTTGGAAATCACCAGATTCGCAAACACGAAATCAAATCGATTATGTCTTGATACAAAATAGCTGGCAAAGCAGTATAATTAATGTACGGTCTTATAACGGAGCAGAATGTGGGTCGGATCATGAATTAGTAATCGCGAAACTTCGACAAAAACTTAGTGTAAAAAAGAGAAAAGAAAACCGTTTCGATTTTGAGAATTTTAATTTGGAAAAATTAAAAAATCCATCAATTAGAACCCAATTCGAGCTAGATGTTAAGAATAGGTTCGAAGCTTTAGAGCTTCCTGACGAGGACCACGAGGATACAGACATGTTATGGGTAGAGATCAGGGATAATATTAAAACGGTCGGTAACTCGTGTCTAGGAAAAAAGGAAAATAAGAATAACAAAGCGTGGTTTGATGAAGATTGCTTAAACATGTGCGAAAAAAGAAAAGCCGCTAAATTAAAAGCTCTAAATAATCCTAGCGAAGACAATCTGGAATACTTCCGAACCTCAAAGAACGAAACGACAAAATTGCTCAAAAATAAAAAAAGGGAGTATCTTAAAAATAAAATAATTGAAATAGAAACTAATAGAATCGAAAATAACGTAAGAGACATGTACAAATGTATAAACAGATCACGAAAATGTGTAGGGCCCGTAACGTCTGGAATTAGGGATGATAATAACAATATTCTGACCGATCCGGTTGACATATTGAATAAGTTTAAGGACCACTTTGACAATATTTTAAATACAGGAAATTATGATATGTGTCCTCCTTCTGAGTACCAGAGTGCCGAACCGTTAGTAGAAGGACCAAGTAAAGAGGAAGTTGAAGTAGCTATCGGAAAATTAAAATCATATAAAGCAGCGGGAACCGATAATATTCCTCCTGAACTAATTAAGGCATGCGGGGAAACTGGAGTTTCTAAAATACATCGGTTGGTTAAAAAGATCTGGATGAATGAGAAATTACCTGAGGAATGGAAAGAATCTATTCTTATTCCGATTCACAAAAAGAGCCCGAGGACGGATTGTAATAACTATCGAGGAATTTCACTCCTTCCGGTATGTTATAAAATATTCACTTTAATCTTAACCAGTCGAATCACGGAATACGCCGAGGAAATTATCGGAGACTACCAATGCGGATTTAGATGGAATCGTTCAACTATTGATCAAATATTTTCTTTACGGCAAATATTAGAGAAAAAATTGGAGTACAACGGTATTGTTCACCAGCTGTATATAGATTTTAAAAAGGCTTACGATTCTATTGACCGCCAGAAACTGTATAATATTCTAATGGAGCAGGGGATTCCAAAAAAACTAGTAAATCTAGTCAGGATGTGCCTGACGGAGACACTCAATAAAGTTAGAATCGGTAATAATCTGTCGGAAAAATTTGAGGTTCGCTCGGGTTTAAAATAGGGGGATCCCTTTCGAGTGTACTGTTCAATTTGGCATTAGAACATGCCATTAGGGAGGTAATGCGTACCGAGAAAGGGTTGGATCTGGGTGGGACAACATCCGTGCTGGGCTATGCTGATGATCTGGTACTGTTAAGCGAAGACGTTGAAACTATAAAGCTAAATACGACAACGTTAATGAAAGCCGGTAAAAAACTAGGACTCGAGATAAACGTGGATAAAACAAAATATATGGTTAGCTGCAAAAATGGCGATACTACTGGTGATATCGATATAGATGGTAATATGTTTGAACAGGTAGATAAATTTAGGTATCTAGGTTCTACGATAACTAGAAAAAACGAAATTGAAGAAGAGATTAAGGTTAGACTGAAGGCGGGAAATGCTTGTTATTTTTCTGTGACAAAACTACTCAGTTCGCGCGTCTTGTCCCGGAACTTAAAAATTAGAATCTATAAAACAATTATCTTGCCTACAGTTCTTTATGGATGCGAAACTTGGCCGCTTACACTAAGGGATGAGCAGCGTCTTAAGGTTTTTGAAAATAAAGTATTGCGTAGAATATTCGGACCGAAGAAGGATGAGTTAACAGGAGAGTTCAGACGGTTATACAACGCCGAATTGTGTGAACTGTATCCGGGTAATATAATTGAGGTAATTTCGTCTCGGCGAATCAAATGAGCTTGTAAAGTTGTTGGGCTTAGTAACGAGAGTATTCCTAAAAGATTAATATTTGCTGTGCCGAATGGTAAGCGTCCGAGGGGTAGACCGAAGCGAAGATGGGAACATTGCATTAAAGCCGATCTAAAGGGACTGGGTTTGGACGGCGAACGGTGGAGGGAGGTGTGTAATAAGCGCATGGTGGTGTCGGCATCGAACCTGCGGGTTCGCTAAGCTTTTTATTATTATTTAATAGTATGTCTTGAGTGGAGAATCTGGCCATTGCCAGAGGTCTAATTTATACAAACTACATAATGTCGCGGGGCCACTGCAATTTTAACCTTCTTGTAGGATTATAGGGACGGGTGGTTCTTGATAGGGATTTTCCAAGGGGTTTTTTGATGATACGTAAGGTACTGGTGAAATTTGGAGAATTTTTCTAGGACAATTTGTAAGGTCTAGGACAAATGAAATGTTGAAGTCATGGTGCAAGGTTTTGTTGTATGCATAGAAAGGAGCACCGACAATTGTTTGTATAACTGTTATACCACTATAATCTTCTAGCATAAAATAATTATAGATCAAGTAAAATAATTTATATTTATATATATATATATATATATATATATATACGGAATTTCATAAAAATAATTTTCAAATCACTTTCTAATTCACTTTTAGAACGCAAACTTTTCGCTTCCTGTGATATTCTACATTTAATCAGTTCGTAAACTTAATATGATAAAATTAGAATCGATCAACAAATGTTAAAATTTTAGCTTCATAGACTTCGTCATTTTTGAGATACATTGATCAATATAGCAAGTATGTGTGACTTTTTTTTTAAAAATATAATATAGATAGCTAAATAAACCTGTTTAATTTTACTTTTAAACACTTAAAGTTTGATAGAACAGTATCTTGAAATATCTAAAATTTTATAATTAAAAAAAATCCAAACTATTATAAGAATTGAATTGTGTGCCACTCGACAAAAAACACATATTTAATTCAAACACTTCAAGATAATTATTTTCCAATCTGAGATGACGTCACAG